ACTGACACTGAATTTACAATCGGTCACCAGACCGTCGAACCTGGTGCGAACGCCCTCAACGTGCACGCTCAACTTGACTGCTTGACACCAGTTGCAATATCGGTGCGAGCTCGGCAGACGGGCTTCCATGCGTGCAGTTGTGCACCGAATGTGGCTTACAGTGTCACTTTTCAGCAACACGCTGCTGTGCTGGGATATTGACACAGAGAAGCAAATCGGTGCGACCACTCACAGTCCTGCCTGCGAGTAAAGCGTGTCTCCCAAAAACCGGGAGGAAGTGCCAACCAATCCAAACTGCGGCTCGGCGCGGAGCCTTGACACCACATTACAGTCTGCCTCGGCCTTATTACTAACACCACCTCAGCTGCAATGTTTACGCGGAGTCGGAAACCTCGGCGACGGCGTTAAGCTTACGTCACTCGACCAATCAGACCGCCGGGATGGGTCCTGAAGACTCTGTAAGAGCCGCCTAAAGAGCATAGAACTACCACAAGCAGCTCGAGGCACGTACGCAGTGCCCTACATGTAGAGGCAACTTAAAGTTATGGTAAACTATTCGTCATTCCATCTCCTCTGTTGATCACTGAACATACATTCAGAGGGAGCTCAACTGATATTAATAAGTACACATATGTACTTTAGTCCTGATTCCTGAGTGTTGAACTTGCAATGGCGGCCAGCAGGGCCTGGGTGGCAGCTGGAAAGGCAGGTCAAAGTGTGCCTGTCCTTTCGGGGAAGTGCAGCAGTCAGCACAGTGATGCACGGTGCTCTGCTTTCAGAAGCTGGCCCGCTGTTGGCCCCAGGGATCTGTATTCAAAACTCACAAAAGGTGGAAACATAACACAATGCCGCTACAATGTAGCAGATCTGTTTAGGTACAAGAGACACAGTAAAGCCTCTCAGCACAGGCTTGCGAGGAGGGCTGAGAGGGAGAGGGTAGTTGGAGTAAGTGCAACATTAGAGCAAGGAGTCACCATTGTTGTGGGCGCTGAAGCAACTAAGGAAGCACCTGCCTCAGACAATGCTGGCACCAATGTGCAAGCCGTCTTATTTGACATGGACGGCGTTCTTTGCGACAGCGAAGATAGGTCGAGGCAGGCAGCAGTTGAGCTCTTCAAGGAGTTAGGGTTTGAGGTCACGGAGGAGGACTTCATCCCGTTCATGGGGACAGGGGAGGCCAACTTCCTGGGTGGGGTGGCGCGCAAGTTTGGCGTCCCTGACTGGGATGTCACTAAGGCCAAGGCACGCTTCTTCGAGATCTACATTGGCAAGGTGGGGCGTGCCACCAATGTTAGCGGTTAATGGACCTTCTTGAAAAGGGGCTCAAGAGAAATGGGATCTACTTCGGTTGGAAGTCAGCCCCTGTAAGCTGGAAGTAGTCCTACTTCGTGGGCGCTTTCTGGCAATATGGCTATCTTTGGCATGGCTTGCTAGGGCAATCTGACCCACAGCTGGACTGCATCAATGCAAGGAACGTTGCTCCAGCTGGCCATCAGGGTTCATGCGACGGGGCTGATTAATCAGGGAACCTTAAGGCTGGCATTGGCGCCTATATTAGCCCCAAAGAATATTTTCCTTTTCTTGAGATGTAGCATCAGTCATTAGGCGCCATCACACCACCTCCTTAGAGAGCTCCAAACCCGGCTTCTCAATCCATTCTCAAAATACTAAGTTGCGCTTTGCTTCATTGTGCAGTATGCCCTCCCTGACTCGGGCCTAGGCTACTCTGGGGCGCTCGAGTTGATCCAAGCGGTGAAGCGGGCAGGGCTCAAGGCGGCGGTTGCTTCCAGTGCCGACCTTGTCAAAGTCAATGCAAACCTTGCAGCCGCTGGTCTCCCTCTAACCAAGTAAGGCCCTCAAACCATCGCGGCCATCATCTTCACTCGTAGAATGTCAATATGTCCACTTCTCAAAAACTGGGCTCTCCTCTGAGAATTCTTGGAAGGTTAACAAGGCTCCACAATCGCACCTAATGGCTGTCCCTTATGCCCATCATAACAACACTTAACATGTGGCCCGACGAATTAAAAGTGCCCTTCCCCAAGATGAAGGGGTGGGGAGAAGAAAGTTTGCGCCTCAAGAGCTCGCTGTTCCTAGTAAAGTCCGACGCTCATGCTCATCTCAGCAGGATGTCTTTTTTGGTCCTCTCTAAAAGATGCGAGGGAGTCACTATCTGACCTGCAAACTGATGCCTCCATGTTACTCCCCAGTTTTGACGCGGTGGTGTCAGCGGACCTGTTTGAGCGGCTGAAGCCGTCCCCTGACATCTTCCTGGCCGCTTCCAAGGCCCTCGGTGTGCCCCCTTCGCAGTGTGTGGTCATTGAGGATGCACTGGCGGGCGTGCAGGCAGCACTGGCGGCAGGCATGCGGTGAGGCAATGGAGCTTAGGCATTGTAAACTGGATGTTGGTCAGTCAGATGGTGGGAGGGGAGATTCGGTCTGTGGCTAATGAGCAGGAGCAAAGGCCTAGTTGCGCTTACGTGTGCATTTGTCTAATGAGGGTCCGCTTGAGTGTGAACAGGCTATGTCGCCATGCAACTCTGCAACTCACGAAGCGTTCCCCTGTTAAACTCTACAACAAAACTTCCCTTGATCACAGTACTGGTAAAGCAGGCACCCACTTCTACGGCATGGCAGTTCTTTGGTTCCTTCAGTCATTAACCAAGTGTCTTGCTCCTCGCTGCTCTCAGTTGCATTGGCGTCACGACCTCTCTCGACGCCGCTGCTCTCGCCCCCGGTGGGCCCGCCCTGGTGCGCAAAGACATCTCGCACATTACCTTGGACGATATTCTGACCGTCAAGTACCCCCCTTCCAACAACGATGACCAGAACGAGACCCCCGCCCAACTACTGAAGGAGCTGAAGCAGTCGGGGGGCAAGGAGGGAATTGCGAAGGGACTCCAGAGCGTGCTGAATGCGACAGTGGACCTGCCAGGGGGGTAAGGCCACAACTGCAGCGGGGTTCACAATAAATCTTGCACTGGGACGTTTCGTTGGAAAAGGGCAGGCTGTCGGCTGCACCACCTTTGCTGCGAGGACTTCATGTAAAGGTCTATCCTTTTGGAGTTACTTCGGTGTCCACTTTCTGATGCACGTCCTGGTCAGAGATGGGCTTACATAAAACCAAAGCTTGATGACATCTGCCGGAAGCAAGATACAAATTTGGATTAAATGGGTTCAGAGAACAACTCTCTGTACATCCACAATTCAGACCACATTTCTCCCCTGGCAACTGGTATAAATGAATCAATGGAGCGTCAAATCATCGTCAAAAGCATGGATGACTGTTCACCGGTTCTTTATTGACCGTTTAGGTGGCCGCTGTGCAGTTTCTCAACAAGGCGGAGAGATGTGTTGCGGTTGGGTGCGGGGCTTATTGGGTTGACGAGCACCTACATAGCCTTTACACGAGCCAAGGTGGGCCCTCCCTAGCATGAAAACTTGCCTGACCTACGAACACCCTTCTCGCTTTCTGAAAGGACGGACAACAGGCTTTGTTTTCCCGTTCCAAATGGTTGGGGTTATCTCCGCTTCACATGGATGGTGGGTTTCACTTTAATGACCGTCCAGAAGCGAGCGAGCAGAAGTTTGTGCCCTGGTTGGAGGACGGTCTGAGGGTTCTTTTGAGGAATCGGTTGATTCTGCCAGTCGCTTCAGGGGCCTGACGTCATCTTCTTGGTCTGGCTGGCAGAATCAACCGGACGTACGAGCTTGGATAAGGACAAAAGGGTGGTGGCTAGCCTGGGTCTGGCAGGCAGCAATCATAGCTTATTGCGTCCGCGCATTTCCGTATTGGCGAAAGGTAGTGCCACCAGAGAAGGCACCTGGGCGATTCGCTCGCTAAGAGCCTGTCTGAGAAAATGAATCACGCGCGGAGGTTTTGGATCAACAGAAAGGGGATGCAAACGAGACAGATAGCCGCAGCAGATTTTGAAAGCCAAGTTTCTCACAAGTACAGTGCTGTACTGGGTTGCAGAGCAGGGAACCGAGCTCTTCTTTCCAGAGGCTGCTCTACCGCTAATGAAAATTACGTTTCCTTTTGGGGTCAAAGTTGGCCCCAGTCATGCTTCCTGTGCCCTTTCGTTCCTAGTCTTCGAATGCCGTTTTGGACCACTTTCCTTATACTCCATTTGGAAGGCTGCCTCGCCACAGTCGCTTCCCTTCATACTGGTTAGTGATCAAAAGCCCTTTGTCATTTGAGGCTCCGCGCTCGAGCGAGCTCTTTCGGCTAGCGTCGTAGGGTCTCAGATCCGACGCCTCACGCGAGCTCGTTGCTCCGTCGGGCGCAGGCCATGTCTTACGTGTCGCCCCGTGCCGTGCTCAACCAGCTGTTTGGTGCCCCCGCCCCTGGAGTTGCGGAAGCTGCAGAGGACCGCGTGAAGCAGTTCAAGAAGTATATCCGGGACATGGAGAAGCGGTGAGCGGCCAGGGCTGTCCATCCTTGACTTGCTTTCGATTGTTCCTTGCTCTGATTGTCTGCCCGACTTGCGATTGGTCGATCTGTCGCTCTGATTGTAGAGCCCGGCATCTTGCCACTCAAAAGCCTGTCGCTCCGAATCGCGGACCTCCTTACTCGGATGTAGAGCAGTATCCGCCTTTCTGATGCCACCTTTTTGCTCCGGAGACGTTTGCTTGCACTCGCGAAGCGTGGCAGCTCTTGTCCAAGAGAACTTTACACCTTCTCTTTGAAAGTGCATGAAGAACTGGGATCTGAAAAGCGCGCCCAGTGCCAAAGGTGCACTCCTTTCGGTCTTCTGCAGCGGGGGCGGCACCACGGTCCCCGAGTTCCAGCAGGGCCTCGCCTGGCTCAACACAGCGCCGCTCAAACTCAGCAAGGTAAGCCCACCTGACGATTGGGTCGCTGTTCGAGATTTCTTGATGCGATTAAGGAGGCATTGTATTGCCACGGATCGGCTGGGACGAAGCCGGGCTTTCGCTTTGTTCACACAGTCCGATAGGTGAGCACCAGAGGATTCTGTTCCAAATCAGTCGCTGATGTTCTGGTCCAGGCCGCTGGTCAGCAAAGGCACAGCGCTTCCGAGTCGCTGTCGCTCGTTGTGGTTGCTTGATGCAGCCTTCCAGTGTTGGCACTTGTTCTCCTTCAGTACAAGAGTCCTCAGGTTGTGCCGTCGCTGTTGCAGGAGCTACGTGGGCGAGTGCTGGTGCTCGACTTCTGGACGTACTGCTGCATCAACTGCATGCACATCCTGCCGGACCTCGCCTTTCTGGAGAAGAAGTACAAGGACCAGCCCGTAAGCCACGCCATCCTTTTTGTTAGCTTTCCGGATCCGTGAAGTACACGACTGGTTGTAACTTGGATGCTTGTCTCCAATTTATTCAGCAGATATCTGCAAGATGGCACCCAAGAAGTGCGAGACGTGATGCTTCGAGAGTGAACTAAACCCTTTATCTGCTGGGGCTTGTCCCCGGGGCCCTTCACTTTGATCTGCTCGTGAATTTCCGGGTTGCCATCATGGGAAAGTAGCTTTGTTCAGGCGGGTCACGTAGAAGCAGTCCGTTTAGAAGCTAGCTCGTCTTTTGCGGCGGGCTTGAACTTATGAACGATCGGACTAGTGCTCTGCGAAGGGTGCTGCGCTAAAGTTGAGGCGGTCGTATTATAGGTAACGGTGGTGGGAGTTCACTCGGCCAAGTTCGACAACGAGAAGGACACGGAGGCAATTCGGGAGGCGGTCCTGCGCTACGACGTCGTGCACCCCGTGAGTACGGCCTACTCACGTACTGATTCGCACTGGACAAACCAAAGAGTGGCTACCTTGCATTTTTTAAGTACCCCGGTCCTTAACAGGAACGGCTCGAGTTCGTTGTTACGGTTGTCTGCTATGGAGAATTCAGCGTGTTTAGGATCCGTCTGAACTAATCAATCTCTAATCTGTGGGTTCGCCAGAGCGGCTCAAGAGTGTATACAACCCCGTTGGTCCCACCAGCTTGGGTCACCATTGCTGTTTCACGTATTCACAACCGCAAAGCCGTTGATAAGATCTCTATACGGGCCCCGACCATTTTGTCCACCTGCAAGTTCTCTCCCCCCGTGCTCACATGTGTCGTCGGTGTACCGCACAGGTTGTAAACGATGGTGAGATGACGATGTGGCGCGGGCTGGGCGTGAGTTCGTGGCCGACGCTAGCGGTGGTGAGCCCGAAGGGAAAGCTGCTAGCCATGCTAGCGGGGGAGGGCCACCGGCAAGACATCGACGAACTACTGCAGGCCGCGCTCGAGTATTACGGCGAGCAGGGAGATCTGAAAAACGACCCGCTGCCGATCAGTCTGGAGAAAGACAAGGACTCGCGGGTGGCGAAGAGCCCGCTCAGGTTCCCGGGCAAGATCGCGACGGATCTGAAGAACAAGCGGCTGTTCATCTCCGACAGCAGCCAGCACCGGATAGTGGTTACGGACCTGAAGGGGAATTTCATCACACAAATAGGGGGTGGCGGCGGGGAGGGTCTGCGGGACGGCGCGTTTGAGTTTGCGGCGTTCAATCGGCCGCAGGGGCTGGCGTACCACTCGGGGCGGGATCTGCTATACGTGGCGGATACGGAGAACCATGCGTTTAGGGAGGTGAACTTGGGGAGCGGCATGGTGAGAACGCTAGCAGGGAACGGGAAGCAAGGGGCGGACTACCGAGGGGGGGGGTCGGGGCCTACGCAGGTGAGCGCTGGCTTTTATGACCTCTTAAAACCAAGCAATGGAGGTGTCACGATGGTACGATAGTTCTCAATCTGAAGTCGGCATGAATACCTCATGCCCTTTGTCGCTCTTCTATATCATTCATAACACGTGCAAATCAAATTTCAGATCTGGTCGAAATCTCACAATCTCCTAGAAGCTCTCATGGCCTATTTCCATTTTGAGAAAACCCTGACATTGCTTCGCCAGATTTGTTTTAGCGATGCAAAGCTGCACCACACGGGCAGTGGATTGCCAAGTCGCTTCTTTCAAACAGCATGTTCTCGGTTTGCCGTGCAGTTGTTGAACTCGCCTTGGGACGTGGTGGTGGACGAGGCGCGCAACGTCGCGTACGTGGCCATGGCGGGGCAGCACCAGCTGTGGAAGTACGACATCGCCGGCAACACGATCGGCCAGTTCAGCGGGGACGGCTACGAGCGCAATCTCAACGGGCCCAGGTACGGGCCGCTCGTAATGGCTAACATGTGCCTGATTATCGACAGAGTCTTCTTCATCTTCACAGCGTCAAGTGAGAGAAGTCTTTCACCAGAACTCAGGAACAAGCTGCATTCGAACAGAAGTTGCTAGCTTGAAGGGTACCGTGTGTGGCCTAAACAACCTTTCTGACTGGGAGAGAAGAGAACTTGAAAACTTTCAGGCAATACTCTCAGGAGCTTCGTGTACTCTGGTAGCTATGGCTCGGTCTCAGAAGCACAGACAGATAAGTGCAGACGGGCACGTCTTGGTGCCCCTCTGAGCGCGCCCCCTGTGATTGCAGCGGGACCAAGTCATCGTTTGCGCAGCCGTCGGGGTTGTCCCTTACGCCAGACGGCTCCAGCATGTACGTCGCCGACAGTGAGAGCAGCTCTGTGCGCGTGGTCAACACCGCCACGGGGGGGTCCCAGAGCAACGTAGGGGGCGACCCCTACTTTTCGGACAATCTCTTCCAGGTATGACCCGCCCGAGAATATCTGAGTCCGATTCCTTACCTGGGATCCAGCGCACTCAGCTCCCGGGATCCACAGAGCTGCAGAGACCAGGAAGGAAAACCAGTCAGAAAGTGTGTAGAAGATGTGAGCGATCAGGATGCCCTACTATAATTCATAGTGGGGCCGATATGCTTGCCGCTGGAGCAAAGCTGCCTTCTGAAAGGCACTCCTCTCCGCATCTTCCCTGTCCAGGTTCCTTCGCAACTATCCGAAGGGTATCACACCGTTGCTTGCCTTCCAAGTGTCCGGGTAGTCTTCTGACCATGTTGCGTGACGCAGTTTGGCGATGTGGACGGTCAGGGCGGGAGCGCGCGGTTGCAACACCCACTAGGGGTGCTTTACGATCCCGCAGGAGGCAAGGTCTTTGTTGCAGATTCGTACAACCATAAGGTGAGGACTTAGAGGCAATGCAAGATATTCTCCGTGTAAAGCAAGTTCATCTCGCAGCCGCTTATTACCTGGTCAAGTCGATAAGCAGACGGTGCGGTGTTGATACTGGCTGTCTGCTTTGTGCGTCCTCTTGTTTGTGACGTCAGACTGCCCGGCTTCGATCGTGTCCCGCATTGAGGGGCAGCTCAAGTTTGGCAAGACCAAAGAGAATGGAGGTCGTACAATTGTGGCGAGTGCCTTGAATCCCAGTCCATGATCACACCGCTTGAGGATATAAATTCGGTTGGCTCCCCAGCTCCTTGACTGTGGCTTAAGCCGACAGCTGCCGGTTTGTTCAGACACCGACTCTGTCTGTCTCTTGGCTCCCGCTGCGACACTAAGCACGCTCGTCGTCTTTGGCAAATGCTTTCACGAGTAGAAGGAGTGCCTTTCCCGAATCCCCTGTGAGCCTCTCTTACGCTTGTGCTGTGCCTGTTGCCTGCAGGTAAAGATCATGGACCCTAGTAAAAACTTGGTACAGACGCTAGCCGGTACCGGAAAGCCTGGTTTCAGAGACGGGACGGGCGGAGAGGTGCAGTTTTCCGAGCCCAATGGACTGGCGCTCGGAGAGGACGGTGAGCTGAAAAAGTTTCTCACATCCAACGGCAGCAATATATCTACTCCTGTGCTCTGTGCAAAGCAATCGGGAACCCTACTGCGCCCCTATATTCTTCAGGGGGGAGGTGACGAAGATTTCCACGTCGCAATGAGGCACATGCCCATAGAGATTTCGACTACTTGACGTCAGATTTTTCTGCAAGCACCCGAGACTGGTACTTCGCTGCCTGTGAATTCGGCCTCGCTTCCGCATCATACAGGCGACGTTTACGTGGCCGACACAAACAATAGTTTGATCCGGGTCATTCACACCCGGGACGGTAACAAGGTATCCACGCTCTCCCTGTCGGGAGTACCGCCACCGCCCGAGGCGCCCGCAGCAGCACGGAGAAAGTGAGGATGCTGTGACTTTTTCATTTTCGTCTGACCCCTCTTCTTTTAAGGGAGCGGGAACAGAGACCAAATGCCGCTACTTCCTGTGACACATGTTGGCAACTCCGATTGCTCTCAGTGCTCGTTCTGCCCCTCAATCCTTCTCTCTTTCAAGATTGTTTGTAGCTATTCTTTTGTTGCGTATTGAAATTTTTGGCAGTTCTCTCAGTCTAAGCAGTCCTTTAGCCACGACCTCAATTTGTAGTCCCAATGGACTACTCGAAGCCGCTTTCCGGAGCGAGGCGAAGCTTGCACCCGCTTGAGCTTGGAAGGCAACTGCGTAGCCAGGGTACTGTCGGCTCCGAAAGAGCTGGGAAGCATGACACGTCCGTTGCTTTCTGCAGGCGGCGCGCCGTTGATACCGAGTTGGTAAAGGTAGACGAGGTGTCAGCCAGCAGCGGCAACCTGGTGCTGCAAATCAGCCTCCCCCCGGGCTATCACTACACGCAAGTGAGACCCACAGCCCAACTGAGGCGGCCCCCTATTCGGTCTTCCTTGATTCTTCTGCAAAACACATATTGCTCGAGGGGTCGACGATTCTTTACCAGAGAATGGTGAAGCCAGGGATTCGGTGCATTGCTTCATCGTGTACTGCGGGGGTGGCTGATTATCTGTTCCAGCGGCTGGAGACTCCTTGTGAGTCTTTAACCAGGGAGTCACTGTCCCCTTTTCGGATTTACGAGAAGCCACGTGGCCGCATCCTGACGGTCCGTTTGTGTGTGCAGGGCGCCACGAGTAAATACGAGGTGGAGTCCGACCCGAGCAACGGCGTGACGGTCCAGCCTGCCGCCGGGGACCTCAGCTCCGCGCGCGACGGCCCCTCCGCCACGCTCAAGTTCACGCGCAGCTCCACCGCGGCCTCGAGCGTCCGCATCAACTGCAAGGTGAGCGCCCCCGAATCTGCGCCCAGGCTGCGGTCCGTTCGTAAGCGCGGGCGAGTGGTTATCAGGGAGACCAGGATTGAAGATGCTGCCGTTGCTGATCTGCATCGAGCACCAGCTTCCAAGTCAGCTCTTAATCTGTGCGGCAAGTGCCGTCGATGCTCAAGAAAGTCTTCGCGGAGTAGCGACGTCTCGGGGCGACATGCTCTGCGGCATACCCTGAGCAATTGCTTGATGTGTCTTGCAGGTGTACTACTGCGAGGACTCGGACACCGTGTGCTTGTTTAAGGGGGTCACCTTTGAGGTGCCGTTCTCTCCCAGTGAGAGCTCTTCGAGCACGGTGACTTTGCCGTACCTAGTAACACCAGATAAGACTCCCAGCAATGTCACCAACAGTTTCCTTATCAAGCCCTGATATCCGAGGGCTAGGTGCAGAGTTGTAGGTCTGTTGAATGTCTTTTCGTGTTGCTAATGATTTTGAGGCAAAGGCATTGTGGCGAACTCGTCTTCGCTGGGCCGCTCTAATCAGAACATTGAAACGGTGATTTGAATCTGATTATAACCCATTTTTGCTCGCCATGTAAAGCTGAGAGCAGACGCAGGCAGCCAATTGGTCGAAAGCTCTCAACCAGCCACGCCAATTGGGTCAAAAAGTGCTTTCCTTTACCCCCCATTTATGTGGCAATATAAGAGGGCTTGAGACTGTGCCATCTCGTGACGGCTTTAAACTGCACATTTGCGTCTGCAGAGCGATGCATAGAAACAGCACGCTGATGCGGCACTATGTAAGACGTGCTTGGTAGCGCAGTGGAAAAGCTTGGAATTGACCGGAGCGGCTTCATCAAAAAGCAAGGCCAATCTGTGCATGCGCGTCTAAGTCTGCATGATCGTTCTCTTCGGAGCGTTGTAGTACTTCTAGACGCTATGGCAGCGCATGTGGCACCATGCCGTTCACGCGCCAAATGGATTAGCGCTAGGAAGAGCTACCGTAGTTCTCATGGCAGATTGGCTTAACTTCGTCGTCGATGTGATTTAGGCTACATATATATATGGCATGCTCTTGCTGCCATTTCCGTATGTTCGAAGCCGCCGAAAGTTGAGGAATTGAAAAACTGTGATACGTGGAGAATGGGGCCTTGTGGACGTCGTGTATCATCTGGTCGGCGTGTGCAGGATCGCGTCCAGGCGCCTTTAAGTATGTGTGCACCTCATGCATGTGCCATCTAGATATCATCATTTTCGTACGTGCGGTTCAATCATGCTCTGTTCTTGTACACCGCTCGTGAGCCCCACGGTTTAATAATCGGATCGGGCTGTCAAGAAAAGCGTCCATGAAGCGGCATGCGACCGGCCGCAGAATATGGCCGAACAAGTGATTGCAACCACTGTTGACATCCGCTGTTTACATAACCAGTTGACATCCGTTGGGCGGACGAGCGGATGTAGTTTTGTTGCAACCAGTGACGCCAGAAGTAACGCCAAGATGACGCTAAGCATGGCGTTACTTTGTTTTCTGATTTGATATTGGACTTCTTTGCTCGAGCATGGTCCACGATATTCGTAGTAACAGGTTCGTCGATTGAGTAATGGTTTGCATTGAAAGAAGTCTAACACCATTCTGATTGGTTGCTACAGTTGCCTACTCTGAATTCACTATTGGTGGGTCAGGACAGGAGTTTCAACACCCAGGGAACTGGCGGTTTCTAACAACTACTTTTTATTTGACGCCGGATGCACGGCTGGCAGTGACGTTCACCCTTTGCACCTGGTACAGATATGGTGAGTCCTGGTAGGTGGCTACGCCAGCCCAGTCTCCGTCATGTACGGTCGACGCGTCCCATATCGAAGCATACCTGTCATGAAGGAAGTAATCTTGGCTAATTGTCGAGACGAATTTGAAGCTTGGCACTGCTGATCGTTCCATCAGAGAGTGCCGATGTTGTGTCGGTAGTCCATTGTTCGCTTTAATCTTGAAATGGATGAGCTGTCTGCAGATGATCAAAATGAGGAAGGCAAAAGATTCGCAAAGCGGTCATGTTCTTTGTTTCAGCTTTCAGATTTGGTGTGTAGCCCAGTAGTTTGGTCGAGCATATCACTTACACGAAACTTGGCTTTGTCGGCCAGGGCGAGTAGCCGTCGTTGATTGCCTTCCTGACCAGTTCGTCGTCGATAAACCACCTGTTGCAGAATCATATCTTAGTTGTCGTCAAGCTCCAGGGATTGCCACACTCTGACGGATCAAAGAAAGCGGCCTTGTCGGGACTCAGCATTTTGAACCGCACAGAAGTTCTCGACCTTGATTATACTTCAAAAGGCCGAACTGTATATCTAACGCAAGCTCGGTGGTCTAGGTGCAGCAGACCTCCCCGTGGCTAAAGTCTTTCCTAATAGCAAACCAGAGCAACAGAAGCGCATCTTCTGGTTGCCTGCACATCTCTGGTCGCAGTCTTTGAATAACCCCGTTTTGGGTTTGGGGTGGACAAGAACGACGCTTAAACTCCTCGAGATTGACTCACTTGATGTAGGAGATCGTCCACTGGATTGTATACTTGTGGAAAGCAGAACGGCAATCAAAGCCAAGGCCGACCATCTGCTCGCGGTCGCCGCCCTACGAATCATCAGGGGGAAGGTCCACTTAGCAAAAGCGTATGGACTTTACTCATGGCCATCAAGCCTCTGTTGAGACACAGTTTTTGTTTTAGAAGAAGTGATCAAAGAATACCATCAGATACGACATGCCAAGAGGACGCTAACAGATAAGCGTGGCCTGATTCAGAACTTCGTGAAGGCTCTGGTCACCGACAAGTGTCTCACCTGCCCGTTCACCCAGTAGTTCGTTTGGATCATTGCTGGACTCTTCCCGAGGAACTCAAAGTCAATCTCGTCCTGACAGAATGATTGGGGGTTTGTGCAGGATGCATCTGTCGTCAAAGAACTCGCCAAACAAATGTGCTATGCAATTCCGTTCTCTGCAGATCCCCTACCACGCTTCAAAGCAGGTAAAGTTCAACGCGGGCACATCGACGATAACCCGCCTTTTCTAGTCGCAAACTTAAAGGGCTTCAAGAATGTCGGTCCTGACTTGAAGCTCCAGCTAACATCTCTCAAAATCATTTTGAACCCTACTATAGGATCCATTGTGCGTGTTACCTGATCGAGACTTCCCTCAAGGGAGCTGATGTAAAATGTCGAAACCAAACCCGTGAAATTGCCTGCAACAAAGACAAGAGCTTCTCGTTTGCCACTTGGGCTAAAGGGTCAACTCCGGCCGCTCCTGAAGAGCACCATAGATGCGGGCTCAAGACCGACTAACAAATATAAGAAGCCGTTCTTTGCATCTCCCTGTTCTTCTCAGTTCCTTCATTTAACTTTGCTTCTTTATAAAAGAGCAACCAGAGGCATCAGAGGGGCTCACTCAATGACAAAGAAAACAAGTGATCGGATCTTACCAGCAGGACACTTGAGGAACGCGGAAAACGTCCCATACGTGTATCTTCCACGCGTGTGCATCCTTGAACCCCCGCTCGGGTCCATCTGAATGGAATAGGTGCCTCGGCTCCGCGTAACATGGTCTGGATCTGTATCAAGGCGCAAAACGATCCGATTTACTCGTCAAGATCAGCGAATGTTAAAGTTTCAAAGAAGGTTCTCATGTACAACGCTCTCATGGATGTTGGAATCAAGACAAATGAGAAACAAAACGATCAAGGCACTGAAAATGATCCAACATCCAACCACTTCTACAGTGAGCTAAGAGTGATATCTGACTTACTGTAGTCGATATCTGTCAGGATCAGATGCGTTTTGAACGCTGAGAACATTATGAGGGACAGTGCCCCAACCGCGGTCAACGCGGGCCAAAGTTTGCTGAGAGAGACCGACGCCACCCCCATCTTTGAGCTTCAAAAGACTGACGGCAGAGTTTGCTGTTCTTCGAAGGCCCGAGCTGAATGACTGGGCGTCTCGTATCCAATTAGTCTCTCCTAGCTGCTTTCCTTCTGTCCAGATCTGGATTCCTGGAGGTCCCAGCTTACCCTCCTTTGACGCTGATTGCATACAAGAATGCAGGGGCCCGTCCGTCCAGACTGCAGCGGCCTTTCTTTCTCGTTTTGTTGCAGACTCTGCATGATCATGGGCAGTCCTTTTTTCACGACCTCTGCCGCAGCATGGACCCCAATTTGACTCCAGCAGGATGCTATTGCGACTTCGGTGCCTCGCCATAGAAAACCTTATTTTGTAAGCCCATTTTTTAGCTTATAGTCAAGCCACGTCCTTTGCTTGCACAGGCCAGCTGTGAACAGCCTTTCTTACCAAATTGGATCTTGATGTGCAGAGTCTGATCAGAGATCACCAGTTCAAAGATCAGAACTTCCATAGGACGCTAAGCGCACGACAAGCAATCCGCATAAGGAGCAGAAGCTGCTGAAGGCAGGAAGAAAGCAAAGATGCCGCCTTCTGACCACATATCTGGACGAGACCTGCGCTTTAAGTTTAACGTGGCCTTGTGTCGCTAGCTTCGATCAACTCCGTCTTTGAGCTTGATAGAGCCGGAAAACTTGAAACGAAGCAAACACCGTGAAGTATTGCAGAAAGAAGGATTTCACTTGCTCATGAAGCAGATTGACTGATGTAACAGTAAGAGGGCCCTGCTTAATCGCTCAAATAGCAACTACTCTGCCAACTTTCCGCATAACATTGATTTGAAGAATAGACCACAAGGTGGCACAAGGCGACATAATTCTGCATGCTGTAGTCTGTCTTCGCTGGATTTTGGCCTCGCCTCGAGATGAACGTTTGGTGCCGATGGAGTCATCCGGAACGTTGAAGTCCAATACAATGTTCGCACAGAGCTTCAAACAAAGCTCGCTGTCTCTGGGCCATTCCTGTTTTACTAAAAGATACTATAGTATGTTCATAGCTGAGACTTGTGAAAGGGTGCGCAAGAAGTGAGTGGCGATCGACTAACAGAGATTGTTAAGCTTACGGGGGTGCCCATGATACCTCGGCATACAAGAGCGAGCTACATACTGTAGCTAAGGCACAGCAAACGGCGCCCACCCAGTCCCACCGTTCAACAAGAAGTAGCTGCGTAGCTCTGTACAGTAGACCCTTTGACACGGACCGCCCGACTGAGCTGCTCGCGGCCGCGCGGCCGCGCACCTGTGTTATCTGCCGATCCCTTCGGCCTTGAACAAAGCCTCAGTTGACAAAGGCAATAAAGAAGACAGACCAGGCGCCTAGTGGCGCTTCAGCAGACAGCGTCGGTCATGAGGGCTTTTCTTTCTTCCATTACGCGACCAATCCTGGGCAAGCGGTCCTTGCCAGACAACGAGGACGTGTCTGCTGACCAGGTTCAGAAAGGCATGGCACATGACGATGTGCAGGGAGCGCGGGCTGCGCAGGAAGTGGGAGGCTCAGCAAAAGAGAAGCCCGCTGCCATTCCTTCAGTTGTCATACCATGGGTCTTCAAGGAGCTCGTGGACTGCGATGACGCCATCAGAGAGAACAAAGTGACGAGGAATGTGTATTACGAGGCGCACGCAGCACGGTTTCAACTCTGTTGGCAAAAATATGGCGACGAATTTCCTACCACCTTATCCCAGGAAATGTTCCCCTTCATCCTCAGTCTCGACGGGAAAGATGGCCTTGAATACTTTCCAGATTTTCCATATGAAGCGCAGAGTTACGTCAATACGTTTGCATGCTTCCTGGTGGAAATTTTCTTGGGAAGCAGTCCCTATCATGTTGCTCTGAACGGCCAGGAGCTGTGGCCAGAAGTGATTGGGACATTATTTGAGAGCGAATCCATTTGGCTGGCCGAGTCAGCAGAGGGAGTGAAGTTGAGAGAGAGGATAGAGTGCTTGCTTGATTGCCTGATGACTTGGTCCAACTCCAAGATACCGTTCTCGGGCACGCGGGACGAGCGCATTTTCGACTCCTATGTGCCATCAGACCCCTCCGTCAAGAATGCATTAGCGTTTAGGAAAGCTATCAAACAAGCGCTGGGAGAAGTCAAAAAGGTCAAGCTGCACAAGGAGATAGCTGCTGCCAAGGCGTCCCTAAAGGCGGCACCGTGGGAGACTGACAGCACCTCAAATCTAAATGAAGAACAAACCACGTCGTGAGCTTAACAGGTCTTCTGGTGCAATTGGACTGTACAAGCTTGTTTGTTGCAACGTCCATAGCATTGCAGGCTAGAATATGATTCTATTTTTGGCAAACCCGTTGGTGCCAATGGTAACAGGATATGTACAGGTTGCTTCTTTGAAAGCGGATTCTAGCAGATTCGGTGTCGGTTGAACCAGTACAACGATCAATGAAACGGCAGCTTTCAGAAAATTTTCTTACTTATTCTGTTGGCTGTGGACAATATTGAACTCACCTGGTATCTTCTTTGGCGCCTCGTTCCTTTGGCGTAACGACCGCTTGAGCAGGCGCGTACAGCCATGCCAAGCGCTGGCAGCGACTACGTGCCCGCCACTACCACGAGAAGCTCTCGGGCGCGCATGAATATCAGTTAGATCCATCTAAGGACTGGCCAGCAACGAGCCTGACAATGTATTCTCCAGTTCATCAACGCCCGATTAGCCTCATCAGCCATTGGGCACGACTCAGGTATCATCCTGCTCAGGATGGTATTGCAGGTTGAGGGCCAGCTAGTTTGCAATGCTGAATGGTAAAAAGCGTTTTGATCTGGCCCGGGCCCTCAAAGTGCAGATGGAATTTTAGGCTGCAACATGCATGGTATCGATCCCATGTGGGACCGCGTTCGTTTATAGTGGATGAGCAATGTTTCAGATGCCTTCCTACCCACATGTGTGTGTTGAACAGTGCCGTACGTGCTCGCCATGCACTGAACTATGCAACTGCACTGTCCATGTGCAGGCCGTGCATCGATCGTAAGGGCCGGGCAGGTGTCACATGAACCTTTGATCATGCCCCTCCGCTAAGACTTCTCGTAACAGCGCACGCGCCATATAATTCACCATAGAAACGTTGACCAAACCGTATCCATGTTCGTCAAATTTTGCGTGCTGAACGCGACTGCCACACGGCAGCCACTGATTGAACATTTTCGCAAGAAAGAACAAGGATCCTCTATGACTTGTACACCTTACTGAGAGCGCACCGTTATGACGTAGCATAGTCTTGTACCTTCGATACCTATCCGCGTTCGTTCGACCTTACGGAATCAAGAACTTCTGACCGCTTCCTGCTCCAATATCTACCTACTTTAAAGCTTTGGCGTCCCCGTCCGTGGTAAGTTGGGCATAGTCATTTGCTATCCGCTACGAAAGCGAATTCGGACGCTATGCAGAAGTGGTCGCTTGGCCATCGCTGCAGAGAGCGCACCTGTCAGTGATATACGGCCTCGTGAAGACAGCCTCCGTGAAAACGAGAAAGAAAGCCTGTCCAGCGCAACGAGAACCGTGGGCCCAGGTCTTTCCGTAAAACGAGGATCCTTGATAGGTTGTCCAACCTGCTAGCAAATTCACGCCGTGAAAGCGAGATTTCTGTGGAACAGACACCAACTCATTTTCAGGACTGTGCGCTCTGGTCCACTGGTAGTCCTGCTTGCATAGTCCCTTGCAAGAACCCGTACCGCTCGGACGGGGTAATATACCAAGCAAAGCCCGTTCTTTATAGCAGAGTTTTGCACTGACCTCGGTCGGTAGCCCTCGGAGGCGCTGCAGGCTCTGCATGGGCGGCGTGTCGAGGACGCGGATCGGGCGGAGGCCAGGGGAGAACCTGGGCGGAAAGAGAATTATACGACAGCAGGTGAGCAGGCCCGCGTCAGCACGCAACAAGCGCTACAAAAGCCAGTGCCATGGCGTCCCCCGATGCAGCCTCAGGAAAAGGGTGTCCGACGTCAGGTTGGAGAACAGGTGGACCGACTGAAATTAAGAGCGGTTCATACGGGCTGCAGTCTGTAAGGGCATCCATTCGGGTTACGTTTCTTCGTTTTCTGTGCTATTTCAGCCGAGGTTGGCTTGAGACAAAGGCATGGCCTCTTTAGCATGCCTGCACTGTTGCTGTGCCACTCTTTGGAACGGTCGTAACAAAAGCTTTCTATCATCACGCGGCTCAAAAGCTCCAACCAATCCGCAAAAGCTAATGGGAATTACATGTTGGGGCCCCCCTTCGTTCTCAATTGCAGCTAAACTGTGTACAGAAGGCTAGTGTCTAAGCCCGAGCAATCGCGAGCACATGCCGTCAATGGTGCAGCAGAGTTGTCGGCCTCGAGGCTCACCAGATGTAGTCGACGGTCCCCCGGGCTTTGCCATGGAATGTGGTGCACGCAGGCTCCCTAGCGCAAGTTGCCTCCCCTCGGAACTGCAAAACGACCACCAGACTACTTTATGCCAGGTAGAAGACACAAACACTCGACTTTTGCCACCGCTCAACGTTCGCAGCCTTATGTCGAGGGAACTTACTTGCAACGCCAAAGCAGGGCGCTCCTGACATTATAACCTGATGAAGAGTGTACTTACGAACAGTAGTTAGAAGAATGTGAAGGAACGCACACCTGGGGAGCTGGAAAAAGCAGAGCTGGAGAGCTGCGCTTGTCATCCTTGCCTGACTAACTTCAAAAGCCTCAAACATAACCTTTCACCTAGAGCAGGCCCAGTCATTTGACCTGTCCAATCAACGCCAGAGTGCAATCTGCAAAAGCACAGGGCGGACTTCCGGCAGCTCACCCGCGGCTGTCGCACGGTAGCGTAGGCACTCCTCAGTCCGTCCAGGGGGTGCCTCACCACGCTATCCCTGCCCCCCCCGGCCGCAATCAAGAACTCCTCTTCTTCCCATACATAATCGATGCCAGGCGGCCGCCTCCGGCCCCAATTGTTCCGCTGCTGCGACTGCCATCCGCTGCTGACACCGGCACGACCGCTCGGCTCCGCTGCTGCGGGAGTAGACGTCGATTCAAGCCCCAGAGAGCCATTCACTAGAAGCTGGGGAAAATTTTCTCCGCCGCTCAGCTGCTGACGACTCGTTCCCGCAATCTCAGCACCTGCAGGCGCTCGCGTCGATTCCGCCAACTCTGGCGCTTCTTCCGAATCAGGCGGCCGGTCACGGAATCCAATGTTCTGGGCACTTTCCGCTTGCCCACTGCTCGACGTCCCGCTTCCCTCCCGGTCCGAATCCGCAGCAGGGCCCCCGGTCGCTCCCTCCGATTGCAGCCTTCGCCTCCTCGGGACTTGCTCTTCCTCGGTGTCCATCCCCGACCCCCTTTGCCGATCGCTGTCCCCGCTGGCAGGCCACTCGTTGGTCGGCCCCGGTTGGCCGCCCCGGCCTCTCTTTAGCTCAAGCCCCGGCTCATTGTTCAGAGCCCGCCCCAAGCTTGCCGACAGCCCGGTAAACCCGCTCTGCACCGCGGGGTCGTCCGGCGTCTCGAAACGAGGCGCATCTGCTCCCTCGGGACCTCGCTCAACCGGGATCTCCTCCAGTATTTCGTCGGCGCTGCCTGCTGCAACTGCTTGCGCGTTTTGGGACTCAGAAATGCCCCTTCTGGCGGCTTCGGTGGACGACACAGGGAGGATGGACCTACAATGAGACAAGCGCACGTCGTTCTCTTACGCAGTGCAGTGACGAATGCTTTGGGGTTGGCCGTAAGGACGGTGTTCTCTTCTCTAAGAAGTCCAAGAAGCGACCGGCTGTGATATTTTGACCAAGTTGAAATTCCCGGCAATTTATGACGACCTGAAAGAACGGACGGGTCTCTTCGTCGAAGACGCCTTCCAACTGCTCTCGCCAATATCACAGGCTCTTCGCTGGGATCCCGCACCACTACGTAGTGATGATGCATTTAGGACCATGGGGCCCAGACGCCCGCTATCGCGTGCTGGGTCCAGCTCATAGCCGTCTTCAAGCACTCCGCAAGCGCTGAATTTTGGCTAGATATCTTATCAGCGGCCAACTGCAGGCTCAAAAATCAAGCGCTCAAGAGAACCCAATTTTCTCTGATTCCAGGTATCCATCATCACGGTTGCGGCGCTGGCCTTACTGTGAGGGTTCTGGCAGGATGCTGATGCGGGTGCTGGGACGGTAGGGCTGCCAGGGGCGGCCGTCGTGCCAGACGCTCTCCATCCCGCCAGACATGTTGCGCCGATCTGTGGCGGCCAGGTCGAGCTGACCCGTGGACAGGTACTGGTACAGGGCACTCTGCACACGCGGTCGTTTGAGCCGAGCATGAGGTGACAGAGAAGGGCTAACAGGCCTCGACACGAGGTTTGACCGCCAGGAAGTGGCTGATGCGATCGGGTCCTAGCTTGGATGTCTTGTTGAGGTCAGAAAAGGACGACCATTTGAAGGAAAGGCAAGCCATGGACGAGCGAATTGAAATACTTACGAAGCGTAATTTCAATCAGGGCGAGTCTTCGAAACTAAATTCGATCAAGGAAAATCCGACTCTGATATTTTCTGTCGAGTGCCACAATAGCATCACCGCCAAGGTGGTCAGAGGAAGGCCTTCCTTTCTTACAACAAAGTAGAACAGCTTTTGATCATTTCAGGCAGGTCGAATCAGCGGCTATGTCTTCTTCAAGCACCATGCCCCAAGTGACGGGTCTCTGATGTCTTTCCAAGACCAATAGTGCCGCACTTGAGCCTCACCTCGGGGGAGCTGTTGAAGTCGCCCATGACCAGGACTGGCGCGCCCGCGTGCTGCTGCGCCAGCTCGTGCGCTTGCGCCAATAGATGCCGCAGCTGCGTCCACGGAAGATGACGACGTCAACCAACGAAGATAAGCAATAGAAGGGAGACGTTACCGGGCCATGCAGCGTTTTAATCAGCACCTAGAGCAGGCAGGAAGTCGCACAGCTTGCTTGCGAAAAGGCAGTGGTCGCAGGGTCGTAGTCCGTGGGGCGACTGCATCTGTCCAATGCCAGCGTCAATGTGGCAGTATTAAGGCCATTGCCACGGAACTATGTGTACCTATGTACTCATCGCCAAAACTCAAACTGTATAGAGACAGACGCATCCTTATTTCTGCAATTCAGCGCGAGAGTCACCTGAGCCAGCTTGATGTCGCCGCGCTTGGGGTTGAAGAGTATGTGCGTATTGGCCACCACCAGGAGCCTGGCCCCACAGACGATGCACAGCTTTGCAAACCTAAATGGTGCTTTTCAGAAGCTTCGCACGATACCAGACAGATGCTTATAGCCTTTTCGAGAGAGTCGCTTTCTGAAAAGAAAATTTTTGGCCCTTGACAGAATCGGGATCAGTTTAGTGTGCGTCAAAAAGGAGCACAAGCTTTCAGAGCTGCCCAGTACCTTGCTGGCGCATCTGGAGCCGCCTGATGCTGCAGGGACAACGGGGAACCACAATCAGGACTCGACCCAAGAATCACAAGAACACAACTTAAACCTTGACGAGACTAACGTTGTTCACATCAGAGACAAGGCCGCAATTGCACCTGCGCTCATAGCATCAGCGCTCTCATGTTGTCATTGCTGTGCGGAGCGAATGGGGCGGCAGGATCGCAGGGAGAGGGCGTCACCTTGAGCACGGCCAGCAGTGCGACGTTCTCGCGCAGGTTCAGGTCCCGGAACTCGAGCTCCTCCACAGCCACCAGGGAGAAGCTGCAGCAGAGCAACGCCAGGTTCGCAGACTGCAGTGCGACAAACGCGAACAGGAGACTATGCCTGTACAGACCTCAGTTGTATCCATCCAACGCACGAAGTCGTTGTGGCCGGAGGAGATCTTCTTCATGCGCCAATGGCTGTCCTCATGGGAAGCAGAGTGTGCCACCGTAAAGGTTCGTCTCCTACGCTAAAGGGCGGCTTACGCGTCTGCCTTCCAAAAGGTAGCGCAGCCGTCCGTCATCTCAGCGCCCGTCCTGCCCTGCACAGGCAACGCAATTACAGCTGCTAAGAAGGTGAATCACAAAACCGGCATCGCGCACGCCCTATGTCACACACCGTTTGACGACCTTCCTGGCTACCAGTCAACCTGAGGCAGATGCGAGTGGAACGCCCCACCTGTATTGGAGGGCTGCCGGGCTTACTTTGAAGGTGCCCTCATAGCCCAGGCTGGCAAGGTCAGCTTGGATCTCGTCAAAGTGGTCCACCTCCTGTAGGAGGAAATGCATCCCAGGGCTGTTGACAGCATGGAAAGCTCCTTGGTTGGAGAACCTCGTGGGTCTCAAGACGCAAAGAGACTCTTCATTTCCCACCTTGATTCCTCGTGTCTATCAACAACTTTAGCATACTCTTTGTCGACCATGTTGAAATTCTTTAGCCCAAACAAGCAGGTGCTCCAGCTCCAATGCAGTTTATACCGAGTCGCAAGTCAATCTATGGTTCCCACTTACTCGTCCGGTGCACCTCTTCTCCACCATGTGGGTACCATGAATCCTCCGCTCTTACCTGCAAACTGATGATGTCGGGTGCCAGCTGTCGCAGCTCCTGCAGGATGGCACGCCGCCTGTTCTCCCAGGCCAGCACTGCCGGAGGCACGTGCCAGTACAGCTCCGGGGCATGGTCCGCTGCCAGCTGGCTGGACAGGATGTTGTATGACACCGCCAGGAAGGAGCCTGCGCGTCAGGAGAACAGTTCTCTTGTGAGCAAGATCAGCAAACGGATCGCTGTGAACGTTTGAGGTGCGTGCACAAAAAGAAAGCGTGCATAAGCGACAGGAAGCGTTGCAATGCTGTGCTTACACTGGCCAAAGCACGATGCCACTGATGTGATTGCTCAATGATGTGACCACAAAGTACTTTCAAAGAGCATGCTGCACAGTATCCTTGAGCTCCATGTGCTGCGAGTAGTCCCTCAGATCGGATCAAAACCATCACTGTAGCTGCATGGAAAGGATGCCCTTTCGCCGACTATACTTAGCTTCCCTGCCGACTGATGTGACACCTGCTCAGCCAGGAGCTCACCGTCAATGACCTTCCCCCGTTGCTTGGAGTGATACAGCCACCGCCGTATCTCATGCCCGGGGCTCAACGCCCTCCCTGGGCCTCCTCTCACGGGGCCCCCATTGCCCCGGCCCCCTCTGCTCTGGCCCCACTGCCAGCTGCCTCGCCCCCCTTCCGGCTGCCACGGCGAGCTTCTGCTTGGGTGTGGCACTGACGTTGGACCCTGCCACCCACGTGGCTCTGGCCAGGAGATCCGCTGATGTACGCTCACCAGTGGTGCTGCTCGACCAGAGAAATCTGCGCACGGCGTTGCATCCTCTTCATTGGCTGGTGGCTGATAGGCATCAGCGGCATCTGGATCCATACGAGCACTGCCCTGTTGCCTGGAAGGACCGACAAACGCGCCCTTGCTGCATCATGCTGCGCCTGCCCTGTACTACAGGCCTTGCCACTCGGGGAAGATTCAAACAGACAGGTCTAGTGTGAATGCTGGCAGCGCTGCTCGAGGCATGGCTTCCTCCTGACGTTCGCTATTCAACCAGTGTCAGAAGAAAACGCCACGGACCGCCTTGTTCGAGGGAACCGGCAGCCGACAGCTCAAGAACCGACATATATCACTCGACATCCGCCATTTTTGACACCAACAAATCTCTGGTTTGTCTTCCTTGATGCGTCCGTGCATTGAATAACCGGCGAGGGCCGTCAAGATCGTCGTAGGATAA